ATAACATTTTATAAAGATAATAATTAAGTATTCTGTTAGAACTCAATGATTATCCTAATTATATTTTAGATTTTTTATATTTAAAATAAGATGTTTATCCTGTATTTGATTGTGTTTATCTGCAGTTAGTTACATGAATTCAAATATGGGATGAAATCGGATAGGGATGAAATCGTTTAGGGATGAACGGGTTTAAAAGTTTTTAAGAGTTTTAACCAAATGTATTATAAGATAGTATAGATATATATCTATATAGAGGTTGGTTATTATACAACCATTGACATTTGTGCAACAAATACAACTCAATCTCAACCGTCCATTTCATTTGATTAATATGTGATTTCATAGAAGTTTTGATTGTTTCCTAATATAAAGTATTGATCATAATTAATGAACTATATTCATCTTTCATAAATATTCAAATCATAATATATAAATGAACTCTCATCATTTTCATAAATATCTCATTTATTGGATTGCATTGGTTGTACAAATGCGACGGGTTGTATTTGAAACAAACTATATATATATATATATATATATATGTGTGTGTGTGTGTATGTATATTGATTAATAGTTAAATATATTAAGTAGTATTAAGTTTTTTTTTTTTATTATTATCGTAATATTAAAGATGTTTTTAGTGTGTGGTTGAGTTAATTATTTTTAGTGTTCAATGAACCCGCCACTTTTAGGGTCTTTAGTGTTTGGGTTGGAGATTGTCTTATTGTGGGAGTTGACAGGGCCGTCCATGGGCCTGTTAAATGTGCCATTCAGAACAGGGCCCCCAATGTTTTGGGGCCCAAATTTTATAGCCCGTCTATTTATATAACTATTAGTTCCAGTTCCTTAACTTCCATTTGGCCCAATTTTACAGCAAGGGCACCGCACGATCGGCAGCAGCATCGGCTACCGTTTCCTTGCGTTCACGACGAGACGACACACTCACACACGATTGACGATTGTCGATTTCATACCTGCACACGCTGGACCAGAACCAGAACCAGGCGTGCAGTGGTGCAGACCAGACTACTCACCTCGTGCCCTCGTCGCCTCGATCTCCCCTCTCCTCTCTATCTGTCCCGTCCTCCGATTGAATTCTTCAAAATGGCTAATGATTCGGACCATTCGGTTTTAGATATGCAACGGCAACTAGAACAACGGTCAGATTTTAGATTATTTTTGTTAATTATAAATACATGTTTGGTCAATTTGTTGTTGATTACTCGTTCCCTGATTACTATTCACTGTTCTTAAATCTTAGAATCTCAACAATTTGGTCGATTACTTATTGTTTTTTTGTTGATTTCATGTGTCATTTGTGTTGGTCTTGGTCACTTGGTAATTTGGTTGGACTATTGGTGAGTGAGTAGGTGGTTGATTTTAACCTAATTCCTAAATCCTAAAGGTGAGATAAAGTATCCTAAGTTCTTTATCTGTAATTATGTATACACAAATTGTCAAATTCGGTTCTTTTTTTCAATGGTCAATATGTGTTGAATATTCCTGGAAGTGTTGTTCTGTGTGTAGTTCAGTAGTTTGAATACAATTTTGCAAGTATATGAACTAATGAAAGGTCTCCTTGGTTTGTTATTTTTCTGTGTTTGTCCAAACTTCAATCTTCAGATTGTTTAGGAATTATGTTCAAATGATCAAATTATTATTGTTACTTTGTCTTCTGTTTTTTATTTGTAAGGCTTTAAATATAATATGAACTTTTGTATTTAACTTTAATTCGTTTTGTTGGCCAATCTACTTATATTTTTTATAATAATGTAACAGGGCCTCCAAAAAGATTGGGACGGCCCTGGGAGTTGATCTTAGCTATTTTATATGACGTTTAATAATAGTGTCATATTAGTGTTTTTTATGGAATTTCTTATGTGAGATACATTTTAAAAAATGTCATACATGCAATAGTAGCTAATAAGACGACTTACGTCTTCTATCCAATTTTAGGTTGTCCAACTCAATTGATATAATTAATAAGTCGCTTATAGGAATCACAGTTGTTATTCATAGAAACTTGAAATTCCATTACGAATTTTCTTACTCAAGGTTCATAACACTTTTCGTATTGACTTTATTTACATAAGATTGTAATCAATCTTTATCACAAAATTTTGTATTAATTCGAATATTTCATTTTATGTTTAGAAAAATAAATATTGTAAGTTCAATAAATAAAATCAATACAATTCTTTTTTATTATGGTTTCTGATTTGAACAAGGTGCTTTCTATTAAATTTTACTTATCATTTGCTTTACTGCTTATTTTTCATGTCTCCTTGAATTTTGATGTTATTTTTCTTAGTTTTTAACGTTTATTTGTTTCTTGATTTGCTTATGTTGTTATCTATTGATTTGTATTTCTTGTTTGGAAATTGTTTTCTCCGATAGTTTACATTGACGTCACTTACTTACTTTAACCATCCTTTGGTTAATTGGGATTTCTCTCATAGGTAAACCTAAAATATAATCAACAAGGCTCAGCAAGTTTCAATTGTATATGGGTTGGTATAACATAAGCATGGAAGTTAGAACTTGGATGGTTCTGAAGCAAGGTTGGCCATCTACGAAAGGAAGCATCGTTCGTATTCATATGAAAACTAAATATGCATTTGTTCTAAAAAGATGTAATTTTCATAAAACATTACAGACAACACATTCTTGAAATTTTTATAAGACGGTGATTTTTTTATTGATATTTAATAAGTTGTGCCTACTTTCTTGTAAATACATTCGACATTACCTATGGAGCATCGATTCACATGTATAATAACATATATGTTACAGCTATGGAAATACAATACAACATAGTACCAAACAATAATTACAAGCAGCAACAAACCCTCTAAAGCTTGTGTAAAATCAAATGAGCGCCAAATTGAGGTTTTAGAGTAATTATGGTGTGTGGAGCATGTGAGTACGACGGAGATAGATCAAAAGAGAAGCGTTGTAAAATCATAACGAGCGCCATTTTAGCTTCTAACATAGCGAAATTCTGTCCGACACATATACGTGGCCCACCTCCAAACGGGACATATGACGCTTGCCCCTTGGTAGCCTTTAACACACCTTCGGAAAATCTTTCAGGCTTGAATTCATTCACATCTTCACCCCATATATCTTGGTCGTGGTGTAAAAGCAACGTGTTTAGTTGGATGAGGGTTCCCGCCGGCAAGATTATGTTTTTTAATTTGGTTTCTTCATGTACCAATCGTCTTAGTAGTACTCCTGGCGGATATAATCTAAGAACCTCATTAAAGATCAAGTTGACCTACAAAAGAATCATTAAGATACAAAATGAATATGGATCTTGACATGTTCTATAAAGAGAGAGCTTTGGTAAACATCAAGTATGGAAAAACTTACAACTTTTAGGTGATTCAACCCATCGATATCTGGTTTTTCATGTCCGAAGACTTGTAGAACTTCTTCTCTAGCACGTGTCTGCCAATCCTTGTATTGACCTAGTAAAATCATCGTCCAAACAAGCATATTTCCGGTGGTTTCCTGGCCTGCAAAGTAGAAAAGTTTGCATTCTTCGATGACGTCCTCGATGCTTAAGCCAAAATTGCTATTCCCTTGTTGTTTAATTTCCTTGTAGTTGGAATCTAAAAGAATGCCTAGGAGGTCATCATTGATACTTTCCCCGGCTTTCATAGCAACAACTCGTTTGTCAATAATACTCTTTATCATAGCCTTCACTTCCCGGTCAATCTCTTTCATCCTCTTGTTACTTTTTGTCGGCAAAAATCTGATAATCATGTTTTATTAGCTTAAATACCCAAAAATAATGATACATTGGAGTTACACTTGGCATTTTTACTGTTCTTTTGTTTAATTCAAACGTATTGTTTAGAAAGGAACTCACCGTGATCCTGGAATGTAAATTGACATTGCAGCTTTCATAATCATCTCCCCTAGTTCTCTTTGAAGCTCAAATATCTTTCTTCCTTCCTCAAAATTACTACCGAACGCTGTACGAGAAATTACATCAGCTGTAAGCGTTTGAAGATGAGGCCATACATCCACTTCACATGAGCTTTCTTTCGTTACCACTTCTTCCCATTTGTGAATCATCTCACTGCAACTCACGTAAAACGCAGGTACCATATGCTGACAAAAGAAAATACAATTAAGCAATACCAAAAACAATGTGTTTTTAGAGAAATAATGTTACTCTAATAACATAAACTCAAGAGCAACTGAGCAAGAAACCTTGAGCTTTTCAACATGGAATGCGGGATTAATGATTTTTCTGCGTTTAACCCATTCATCAGCCTCAACGTCGATTAACCCTTTTGCTAGCAACTTTGTTAACGGGTTTCCTCCCCTTGGCTTTTGAAATTGATAATGGTTAGCCAAGACCTCTCGCATCATGGTGGGGTCAGATACGTGCACCATAGGTTTTATCCCCATCCATGTAAAACAAGTCTTACCTGTATGTATATATTGTTAAAACCAGAATCCAATGAACTAAATATTTGAGATGCTATTTTCGGCATGAATTTCTAACAATCCTAAATATTATTGTATCAAGAGAAATGTTAAAAAGAGCACCTCCAACACAAACTTCATAACGAATGATGATTATATATATATATATATATATATATATATATATCTTCGTATTTTGTTGTAGTCAAATGGTGGCACGAATTAGATAAATATGCTAAGTCCTGCTCTGTTTGGAAAACTGTTTGATTCTATAAATTCAATCCCTAAAAAGTAGTCTAGCAAGATAGTCAATGTTGTTGTAATCATAATACAGTTGGAGATACCAAAAAAATTCAACTTTTGGATCACATATGTAGAGAAATCGAAAACCCCAGTTTCACATATACGTACCGTGAGCAACGACGGATTTATGGAAGAAGGCCAATACACGAGGAGCGATATCGTGATCAGTTACACTCATGGGTTTAGATCTTGCTTCGTTTCTCATCTTCTCCAACTCTTTCAAATCTCCGACCATGAATCGATAAGGGGTGCCTTTGAGTCCTTGATCTCTTAGAAACTTCTCCATCTTTTTCGGTTTCAACCACAAGAAATTCAAAACTCGCCATACATACAACGCCAAGATCGCTGCTACTCCAATAACACAAACAACTGCCGTTTCCGCCATGGCTGTAAAAAAAGCTGTGAGCTAGATCTGTGAACTTGTGATGATGATGATGAGAGTAGGAGGGGGTACTTTTATTGATTAATAAATTAAAATTTATTACCCTAAAGATTTGAGTAGTTGATGGTTATGCACCTTGTGTTTTTATGGTATTCATGGCAAGTCCTCCACATGAATAAGACGGAAATTTTGTATTGGACTCGTTTGAAATTTTGCTTCGAATTTTGAAAAGGGAAAGTACAATAAAAATCAATTGACTTTCTTGTTTGGAATGATTAAGTTTTTAGACTTTTTTTTTGGAACAAATAAGTCCTTGAACAATTCAAAACATGTTAAATAAGTCATTGGACAATTTTTTGGAACAAATAAGTTCTTGGACATTCCAAAATATGTTAAATAAGTCCTTCGACAATTTTTCGAATAAATATGTCATTGGACATTTCAAAAAATGTTAAATAACTCATTGGACAATTTTTGGAACAAATAAGTCCTTGAACAATCCAAAACATGTTAAATAACTTCTTGAACTTTTATAAAATATGTTGGATACATTCTTATGACTTGTACAACTAGTTAAAGTGGTAAAATAGTGAAAAAAATCCGAAAAAAACCCAATGAACATTCATATTTTGAACGATTAAGCCCCTAAATATTTTTTGAACCAAAAAGTATTTAGATTTATAAAATTAAACAAATATAACAAAAAAGTACTTACATTTACAAAAAAATAATTACATTTAAAAAAGATTTTTGATAAAGTTTATTTTAATTAAAATTTATATATATTCTGTCAGTGATTTTTCAAACAAAAAAAATAATTATTATTAAATTTATTTTAATTAAAAATATATATATCATGTATGTGATTTTTTAAATTTAAAAAAGATTTAAAAAG